TGAAATGGTTAAGTAAATGCCTGCGGATTTCTATCATTGTTCAGCCAACAGCGCTAGTCATTACATAATGTCCATCATATCGAAAAGAGCCACTGTTGTGATTAAAAAGAGAGTTTCCCCTTCTTGAAACTAATCGCTTTGACAACGTATAGTAGAATTCACTGATGTATTCAGTTAGAGTTGTGTTTCAGTTTTAGAACTTCTTATACCCTCACCAGAATATGAAATTAGGCCTAAGAACGAAAACAGCGAAACTATGGAGATTGGCAAATTTTACGAAAGAACTACATCATCGGTGGTGCAGTTGTAGAAAAACTACTAAACAGCCATCTATGAATCATATCTTTCCGCTATTTCCATCTCGTCTAAGCAAGTAATCTAGATTTTATTTCTCTCCATCCTAATCTAGTGATCACATCTTTGTCAGATGATTGCTATTTGAATTCAAGCAACTTTCACTTCTTCCGACTATGCAAAATACATTATTTATGGTTAGTGTTTGGAGAAACACAAGACAAAGATACCAAGAAAGCAATGAGCTACATCCTTTGAGTATGTTGGATATTATCAGATTTAACGGCTAGCCATTCGCCGTATGGGACGCAATTCGCGAACAATGGGATGCACAAGCCTTTACTTTCTAATCATTAATCTCAATAATATTCCAGGAATGTGGCTGCAGTGGTTAGCTGCCTGTATAATATTGACATTACCGGCCCATTCTCTCTTCCCAGGAGCAATTCCAGATGAGGGCGATGTGCGTCACATCTATCCAATGGCACAAATTTCGATGGGTCTTGACAATCACGCCCACGCTGTGCCATATCTCCTTGGATGGCTCGAAAACATTGACTATCCTAAAGAGAGACTTCATTTGATAATCTACCTACTTAGCAAAGAAGACACGACCGGAGATCAGGTGAAATGGTAAGGGTTAGACTATCTCAAAAAACCAACACAGTTTCATTGAGTACGATGTATATCAGGTGGAAAGACTCGATTGCGTCACTTTTCGCTTCAGTGAAGATTGTTGAAGGTGAGGACAACTGGCTGGAGGCAGGATTGAGGTCAGCACGGCTACGTCGAGCCGGTCGTGTCCTCCTTATATCTGGGAACACAATACCCACGAGAAGTCGACTGCTTAGGGTGCGTCTCAAGTTTATATACTTAATGTATTTAACAGTTTTCCTTCTATATCATACATATACAACTTTGTGCATAATGAGTTTTTTTTGTCAATGTATATAGTTTTTGGTCCCCTGCTATTTAGGACCTCAACTCAACAGCAGTTGTTATTAGTGCACTGTTTGATGCAGCGTCTAATGAGGCAAATACCAACTATGATGATGTTGAGGACAATTTTCGTGACAGAACCGTAACGGGAAGAAAGGAGGTCAGCGAAAGTTTGAGACTGAGAGCTAATCATATTCTGGCTTATTTTGTTTGGGAATGTCTCGAATTTCTTCCCACACAATTCTAGTGTTTCCCTTCTTTTTTAAACATTTCTTCATGTTTTTAATTTCCTTTCTTCATATTTTATTGGAGAAGAGAAATTAGTTTGCATAATGAATATTTTCCAGCTATCCTTGAATTGATTTTTTAACTGCATAAACGACCATTCTTGTCAGATATATCAAGCTGTCTTACCAATGCTCGTCAATATCGATCACATGGATGCCTCATACCTTACATTTGACGCCGACAATTTGCCGCACTATGAGGGAAGCACTGATCCGTTTGAGGTATGAGTCACTCGTTTATCAATTCTCTTTGTTAAAATATCAGTG